AGACATTCTCATTATTTATAATTTCACATAATTAATTGAAGGTAATCATAAGAACCGTGTGCTATAATCTCGTTAAAAAAAAATAAAAAAAAGAAATTTATCGTGCGAGAATATCACGACTCCGAGGAACGTAATCCGATCGGTCGATATTTCACGATCGCCGTTCTCTCGCATATTCGCGAGGCACTGTTCGGAATCCCCTTCCCTGTTCCTCCACGCCAATATTCTCCCTGATTTCAACAATAATCGTGCTTGCGCAACTTGGGGCCTCCTCGGCACGTTGCGGCGGCCGCTCGTTTGATTTACGATAATTAAAGCTGACCTGACCTTTCGTCGCAACGAGAAGAACGCGCGATTCCTTCTTGATCGGACGGATACCGATGAGAGACTACGTGATATTAAGGAGACTCTCCCACTTTCCGTATTTCATTCTCATTCTCGATTGCCACTCATTTCATTCTCCCTTCTCTCCTCTTTTTTATTTTATTAAATATATACGTATATATTCTGCTTATATAAATATACAGTGTCCCATAGGAAATTGTTGAAACTGTCGTTTTTTAATGTATACAGTTATTGAGAAAACAAAAATTGTGTTGAAAAGAGAAAAGTGCTGTTTTTAATAGATATAAATAAAATTTTTGTACTAGTTTATTTTATTGAAAAAAATGCTAATAATCACATATGTAAACGAATGATAAATATTTTCGGAGTGCGCACTATTTGAATCTGTACAAATTTTGTTCTTTTACGAAAACTCGTAAAAACTTTTTCTAACATGTCATTTTTAATGTTATTGACGATCCTTTTAATAGATGCTATTAAATCTGGCACTGCATGTTGAAAATATTTATCATTAATTTATGTAATTTTATGTGATTATTAGCACTATTTTCATTACTTTTTATTAATAAAATAAACTAGTATACAAACATTTTATTTAAATTTTAATTTATTTAGTTGACCAAAACTGGCATCACTTTATTGCATGAAAAATTACATGTTTCAATCACCGCTTGTAGTCCTTATCAAATGTAGATAGAATCAAATCGTTGATAATTGCAAATTTAACATAGATTATAAATTTTTCATGTCGGTTAACTTGACAGACGAGACGAACAATTGTTGTAAGTGTCAAAATTAATACTCCATTTATTTATATCAACATTTTATTTATTTATATCCATTAAAAACTGCAGACTTTCCTCTTTCCAACACAATACACAATTTTTATTTTCTCAATAACTGTATGCATTAAAAAATGCCAGCTGATTGCCAGTTTCAGCTATTTCCTATGGACACTGTAGATAGGTATTGTAAATAAAATCTTCCCGAAGGTAGAAAGATTTCTATAAGGAGTCTATATTTTTCTCCTTTTTACCTTGTCACAAGAATTTTTTTTTTTTTTTCAATCTGACGAGACAAAATCATCTATGTCGGAATCAACCGGGTAATTGCACGACGCAAGTAGCAATTGACGTGTTCGCGGCTTTTGCATTTTTGCCGGTGGCGATTTTGAGGCGAGAGACCAGATTTCCCTATCGATCGCCGCTCGTCAGCTGTAGTCCGCGCTCGGCGATTATATCGCGACCGATAATCGCGATTTACTTATGATACTTATCAAGGTAGGAGGGTTCACGTGAGTAGCGGATCCCTTTCAAATCTATGCATTCGCGCGGGGTCCTATTTATCCTCTCTCTCTCTCTCTCTTTATCTTTCTCGACGTGTAAGCCGCGCTCGAGGATAACAAATCCGATCCGTGAAAGCGATGATATAACGCCCGGCGATTTATAGCGCGATCGTTTCGCGAGGTTTGATTAGAAACACCGCTAGGTACACGAATTCGTCATGGTTCGTGTAATTTACCGTACCGCTGCGATTAAACAAGCTCATTTCGAGCCATTCCGACGGAATCGATTCTTTCGAAAGATACCTCGAGGGCGAAAGGCCGAAACTTGACGAAATCTAGTTACTCTCGAAGAGGCTCGTAAAAATGTCGATCGAAAAAAATCAATTTCGCCGCTGCGCGAAAAGCATATATATATATATATGTATATGTACGCTGCATTCGTATATAAGCTCTGGTATAAATCACAAAGCAACTCTCCGTACAATACGCGCACGAATTAACGATCAATTTCTCCGCATAATCCCGCGCGTCGCGGAACATAAATTCTCGAGCGACGCTATCGCATTCATAAATTTAATACTCGCGCGCGAGAGGAAATGGAGAGCTTCCAGCCCGAATTTGGGTTTTCGCGGACCCGCGCTTCCGTCTCTGCGAAATCGCGCGTCGTAAAAAACTCTCTCTCTCTCGCGCGCGCGAATACATCTCCCCGTGGACGTGAAAAAAAGCCGCGAAATTCGCGCGTTCGCGAGATAACGAGCCCGCGGCTGAAAAATTGCACGTCCCGGTGTTGGCAATGATGCACAAAACGGCTACCGCGGTCGAAACGTGAGAAGAGAACGTCCTCTCCGCGGGCGACCCGTTAATTATTAACGCGGCTAATATTTTTCTTCGGCGACCGCGTTCGCAAGACGGCGAAATTATGACGCGATTTCACGTCGCGATAAATCGTCAAGATAATTATTCACGCACGTGCGAAGTGTGCGTGCGTGCGTGCCTGCGTGCGTGCGTGCCTACGTGTCTCGCCACGGCCAGGTTGCACGTCGGAGAACGGCTAGGCGCCGGTTCGCTTCCTGCCCGATGATGACGACGTTGATGATTACGCCTTACGTTGGCTAGGGTTTGAGAGAAGACTGATCGCGCCGCGTTCCGTTCTTTCGCGATACAGGCGCCGTGTAACTCTCTCGCTGAAATTATTACCGGGTCGGAGGTCGCGATTGTATATTTATCAGCGAGCCGCAAGTGTATCGCCATTAAGGCTTGTTTTTCATATCACGGATGATGGTAACGAGTGCGCGGCGAATAGATAGATTTTTTTTTTTTTTATATACTCGAGATCATATATAGGTGCGGCCAAGAGTCTAGTATATGCTTCATTAAATTTCACCGAATCGACGAACGAAGTTGCGGGCTTCGATGCAAATGTATGTATATAAGTCTTCGCGCAATTTTAACCGCGTTACTATATCCGCATTGTCTCGCGACGTGTCTGTTGCAAGATAATTGTTACTTATCCCAGAGAGACGTGCGTGAGAAATGGAAGGCACACGTGTGTACTTACATACACACGTGCATATACATATATACGAGATATGACTTCTCGCGCGCGAGAAGAACATCGCGCTTGTTATAGCTTCCATATCGTGGAGGAAGAAGCGCGCGCCAGAATGGGAATTATTTATCTACTCTTGGTGCACATCCCGCGAGAAAAATGGCCGAAGGAAGACGACGCCGTGTGTGTGTGTGTGTGTTTGTACGCGCATTATGTTGCGATTTCTATTGTACAGCACGTACCCAGGGGAATGGAAAACGAATGTTTTCGAGCCGGCGCCGTTTGTTCCTCGTCGATGTGTGCGAGCAGCGCGTGGGCAAACGCGGGATATATAATAAGGATGAGGGCCCCATGTGAGCGCGCGTGCAAGATTATATAGTTAGATCTTGGAGGAGAAGGCGGTTAGCAAGTCATAATTGCATCCTCGTTTCGCGCTAGCGTTAAATCATACACATCCGTTTTTCGTTTACCAGGCGAGAAACAATCGCACACACGCTATATAGGTAGACGAGATGATACACCTAACGAGAAGATAACGCGGGCGAAATTTTCGACAATTCCCGGAGAAGGAAATACGATGGCGAGAAAGAGATTGATCGCTAAACGTGTTTATTTTAGGGTGACGTCGCCCAAAGATACTTTTGTCCCCGGTTAACAAAGATCGATTAGCGCTCGCCCTTTTTACACCAACGCGCGCCTGCGCGCCAGAGCAAGTATATCCGCGTAGAGAGATACAATCCGTCGTTAACGTTCCAACGACAGTGACGAAGATACGTCGGGAGCGCTAATTAGTTGTTCGCGGTGTCCCTTCGTGAAGGGAAGAAAGATCGAAGAAAGAAGAGCGGAGGTTTTCACGTGTAGTCCAGGAGGTCGTTCTCCAAAGTAGCTCCGGGGGAGAGCTGTAATCCATCATCGAAAACGGGCTGGTGTAATGTAACCGGCCGGTTATGCGTCGACTAATCAGTCAGACTGCCTCGCTGTATAATTAGCAGTCTCTCTCTCTCTTTCTCTTGAATATTCCCGCGCGTATTCGTTACGTTATATATATATGTATATATATCTAGCTGCAACGCTCGACTTTCCTTCCTCGCTACATCGTATATACATATGGCCCGTAAAAGGCATGCTTCTGTTTTCATTTCCCGGCTCGCGATCGTTAGCGAAACACCCGAGTCACGGTGTGTATTACATCTCGCGCCGTGTATTACAATCCAAAACGTTGACGGATGATATTTTCGAGTGGCTTGTCGCAATTGTGTAAATACACGCATTTACTGAGCCTTTCTTGTGGATTTTATTAATTTTTCCTCTCTTTCCTCCTTCTTTCTTCCTTTCCCTATCGACCGTAAAATAAGGAAATATATATATATGTGAAACATCTCTCTCGCGAAATAAACGAGGCAAATTAACACGATCGTTCCATCGACGACGTAATGACACACAACGCAATTTACGGTCTAATAGTAATTTCTCTCCGGTGCCTGCGTCCGACAGAAGGAAGGACTACGCGTAAAGTAATTCTCGGACGTTGCGTTTCGAGCGAGAATATTCCAGCCGTATGGGCTGTAGGTATCTGCGGGAATGGGAGATCATTATAGACTCGCCGCGTGAGTTAAATGGCAAACTTAACGATCTTCTATACGAGATCTCTTCCTCAACTGTCTGTACTTTACGTACCTAGTCTGAAGTTTTACGAGAGAGTGACGCGCAGAGCTTTCTCTCTCTCTCTCTCTTCATATATGTAATATTTTTATTTAAAATTATATAAAGAATTTCATATATATATGTATATTTATTTTTGATCTCAGTTCTTTGACTTACCTTCGCCAGACGTGAAGGGAACCACTCCGGGCAGGAGGACGCAGAACAAGAGGAACAGCGAGCAAGATTTCGGCCACATCGCGCGTATCAGCTGGGGATCACCTCTGTCCAATCATTCGTTCATCTCTCCTCGTACGAAAGGTATAAGAATATCACGTTTAAATACTTCTCGGCGCCACTCGACACAATAACACTGGCCACTCGTCGGCTTGATACGAGCCCGCACCTGTAATCATATAAACCGACGCAATGATTAATACAGCAGTTTCAACGCGCATCTGGGCTTTCTCGTTAACGCGCGAGAAAATAATTTTCCGGGAACGCGAAATATAATCGCCGTAAATCTTGGACATAAAGAGACGTGTTAAGTAAAATGCGCACGACTTTCAGGCGAGAATTTCGAGAAACGCGATAAAGCAACCTACTTCGCTTCTAACGTATGGAAGGTATATATTCTTCTGCGCAAAATGAAAATGCCATCTCGCACGCAACCGGGGCGAAGAAAAGTATCGAGGTGAAATGGGTTTAACGTCGGGTCGGGTCGCCGCTGAACGTTGTTTCTACCGGAAAGCAGTATAAGAGAGACGGTTAGAGGAAAGTCGAGAGTGCCACTTACGACGTGGCTGGTGGAGCCCTTGGCATTTAAATATTCCAACGGCGGCAGACACTTTCCCGCACGCGAAATTTCCTCGCGGCGCCTTCATTTCCAGTCGTTGCTACCGTGAAAGGAAAGCCTGCGCAGGGAGAGGGCGGTAATTTCCCCTTATGTTTCGATAGCTCCCTCAAACGCGAGACTGCTGTTTCTTCAGAGGAGGGACTCTCCGATCGATAACCGTCGGAATTAATTATTAAGCGCGATTCGTCTATTGGAAACGCATTGAATTGATTCGTAAAGAAATTCCGTTCTACAAACTGAATCTTTATATTTACTTATTTACGATCAATTTTAATTCATTATTGTATATCTCCGTTAAACGGTAATGTATTAATTTCTTTCTTGAAAAGTTTTAGAGGTTTGATGGAAAAAGAATTTTTTTACATTTTTTTTGGTACTCGTCGACTGTTATTGTTCGTTTCGATGTAAAAAGAAAATTATAATTTTCTTAAAATAATAATTTCTTAAGGAATTAAAATCGGTAAAATTGTGAAAACGACGCGTTTAAAAGCCAGATGTGAGTCAACTCTGCATAATGAGAATTCCGAGTTTATCTTTAAATAATGTTGCCTGCGAAACGCAATCGCTCTCTAGAACAAACTTTTAGCAACATATATTTCGTCGCACATATTAATCTACATTTGTATGCTTAACCAACATCGCTGTTCGTAGGGCATTACACTACGAGAATTATCCCCTCGCTTTATCGATCGATGCTTTAAACTCTCAGCGAGATGCATCAAATCCACGCGATGTGTGCATATCGTGCAACAAAATTCGCGCAGAAACATAACGTTTGAGGCGAACTTGCGATCGCGAACATATATCTAGCGTGCATATATGCAAAGCTTGTTAGTACCAAGCTGTTATACGATCCTACCGAGTCGGTTAGTTGAAACGCAACTAAGGGATCGTTTATCAATGTCGTTCGTCAAGGTCTTTCGCTAGATGCTCGATTACATCCGTAAGCGCTATTGTACGGAGCAGCCTTCTCGTGAGCAAACGCGTAATGGAATAAGGTGAAATTTAGCATGCTGTGAAAAAAAAGAAGAAACAGCGGAGTCGCCTTTTCAAGTTTCCGTGTTCACGTGACGCGAGTTTTTTGCTCCCCCGGATATATAATCGCGATAACATTAATTTTTACTCGCCGTTTAAAACGATACCCGTGCGAAATGATCAAGTTGATCAGATTAAAATGCTATTTTTAATACCGATATATCTGCGTATATTATATTTCGATATTTTTAATAATGCAAAAATATGTATAACAATATAATTATGTTGGAAATATGAGCGAGAGTTTTTTTTTTTATTTCTGCGAGATTGAATCTGTCCAATATCGCTTTCATGTTTTCGATCAACAGCAGCGTTCGGAAAATCGATGAAACCGCTACACTCTATATCGGGGTACGCAGGCCGAAAATGCTCTCGAAGATTCATGACGCGGAATAATCGATGCAGCGACGACCCCGTGTGCAATACGCGCATTATGACCGTGTAGGTGTACACACATATATATCGCATGGGCCATGCACAGATTTCCCATCTCTCGAGCTGGTTCTAATCCTGCGGGACGAGAATTCAATTTATAAACGTGTACATGCTCTCGGCATTATATCCATTCAAGGGTTTAAAACACTCGACAGCGTTGCGTCACGCGCGCGTTGACCGCCACATGGCAGTTTTTACACCGCAGTTGGCACGAATTCTCTTCTCCCGGGTCTCTTCCATCTGGTTGAAAAAACCGAGCGGAGTGGAGCTAGTTGGAATTCTTTCTTTCGTCGAACATGCCTGGATGAACCATCCTCTTCTGGCGCAATATTGTCGCAACGTCGGCGACGATACGAAAGAGAGAGCGACTTGAATGACGCATCTTGAATATCGCATGACAACAGGTAGAGCGACTACCAAACTGGACCCCTAGTCGAAAGGATATAGCTACCGGTTCCAGATGCGCCTTTCAGGAAAGGGTCAAAGTACGTACATACATATATGTATATAATATACGATCACACTTTCGGAGAAATTTTTGATGGATGCGAGTTGTGTTCTGGAAAAAAAAGTCGAGTCGGATAAATACATTATAAATGCGGCTGTATATATAAATTTCAGGCAGGCTCTCGATAGTTTATTATTCCTCGGCGAAAGGTAAACGACGATAATCCCCCGTCGGATTAAAAACGTCGGACATAAATTCCGTCTTAATTCTCGATAATTGAACGAGGCGATTTTCATTCATTTATAATATCGTTACGTAAACGATAGAAAAATAAATAATTCATCTCTCGGTGCGGTGTCTTCGTATAGAATATCACGAAGGTGCGAAACCGCGCGACATTCTTCAAGGATGTGCCGATAACCGCAAGATATTCCCTGGGAACACACATCCAGCCGCGAATATCGTCCAGGACTCCTCCTTCGTCTCTCTCTCTCTCTCTCCATTTTTCTCCACCGTATCTCTCGCTCTCGCTCCTCCGTAACGTAATCCGAGAGGATTACGGAGCGAAATAAACATGTCAACCTCCCCCGCAGGGTGCAGCAGGGGGATGTGGGTTCGCGCAGCGTCTTTATAGACCGCACGTACAGGATATCGCCTTTCTTTTCCTCGGCCTCCTCCTCTCGCGACGTCTTCCGTGCTTACATACGGTCGTTCTCCCGCCTTCGACGGAGAGATTCCTCCAGATACCGGTCCTTCCTCGCTCGCTGACTGTTATTTAACCAACTGGCAGATGCGTCTAGTCCTGATTCTCCCGCAAACCCGATCGGTCTTATCCGCGCAAGATCTGAATCCTCCTCAATCAAGGATAGATTATCGCGGTTTTTTATTTTCATCAGCTCGATTCTATCGTGTCAGTCTTTTTCTTCTTCCTCACAAGGATATATCGTTCTTGTCTGAGAAAAAGAAAGAAAGAAAAGATAGAGTCTCGAGAGAGAGGTCTCCGACTTTGCGGGAGTGGAAACCTGCAACTTCGTGAAACGTATACAAATTCGTGACTACCTGCGGCAAAGGGATTCCATTTATGCGCGCCGCTTCTTTGAGGCGCACCGTGTTTCAGCGGTTTTTAAAAGCAATTGTATTGTTAGGCGAGAGAGATGTTTGCAGGTGTTCAAAGATGTGCTGATGTGGTTATCGATTTCCAGCAGTTATTAATGGCCTCTAACGGGATGAATCTTACTGCGCGCCTGCGGTTTGTAGGAATAATAATAACTCGCTTCTTTTTCTCGCCGTCTCAATATTTTTCCTAACGTAGTCACTGACCCCTTCATTTTCGCGACTCCAACCCTATGCGGATCCAACGGGTAGGATAGATTGTTTCTTCACAATGCGAGAGATCTTTTACGCAAGAGATCGCAACATAAGTTATCCGTTCGTGGCTATCGAGGCTAAAACTTCGACTTCCAACGCAAAGTAAACGTAATAACTCGAGATCAAAGAGGCTCTCTCTCGCGAGAGGTGAGGGAGATTTAAAAGAGTGCAACCCGTAAAATCAAGCGTCGCGAACGATCCACGAACTCCCTCGCGATTACTTTGCGCGGGAGAATAAGTAACGACTCGGTGTCACGACTCCAGGAGCATCCGGCACAAAGGATCCTTACAACTTCTAACACGGATAGGATCCCGACCGCGGCTAAAGAGTATTCAACCTTGGTGCCTCTTTCAAGGGCATTTCGAAAATCAAACGCCGAAATACACCTTTCCCTTCGCTCTTTGATCGTTTCATCGCCTATTGCAGCTGGGTAAGAAACGTGGACCTCGCAAACAGAACTGAACGGGCTGAAAATATGTATATATATTATCCGCATCTTCCCCGGACTTTGGATGAAGGATCAAACGTCGCTTTTCCGCGCCGGCTTTTGGCCGACGAGGCAAACACCGTGCCTGGAAGTTATTTGACGTTTTTGCATGAATATAAAGTACAATGTGCGACTACGCGATCGCCCCGGGCGGGATCTCCTCCAGCATCCTCGCGATGAAGCTGCGCACACGATATATGACGAGAGCCGCTATACGAGAAAACGGGGACGCGGCTCATATCATAGCGGACGTAAACGAGAAGAAGGATGATGCTTTCTCGGTCTCTCTTTTTTCGCGCCAAGATTTTTCAGACATTCGACGCCTTCGGGTATTACGACGTGTAAAGAACGATGGAAGGCTTCCTGAAAAATTTTCACCGATTTTATTTCCACCGATAAGAAAAATTCTACGTATGTAGTAAAAATCGGGGAAACGACGTATAGAGTTGTTTACGATAAATAAGTATATATGTATGTTGCGTTTGCGATTTGTGACTCTTCTCTGTCATTTTTATTGTAAACTAACCGGTAGAAACTCAATACCTTTGTTTAAAGATTCCGGGTTACATAAAATAAAATTTCGCGTACATATGCGACGCAGCTGTCGTTAAAATGCATTTTTATTTCGGCGTTTTATTCGTATGTAGTTTTATTACACGCCATTATATTCGGGGGACATGTAAAAGCGTTTCAGCGTACAGATTCGGCTCTCGAATGAAATTACTCGTTCCTTGATTATCTTTATTATATCTTCATCTCGTGCGCGCTTCCCGTTCATACACATTATCTCTTTAAACCTCAACTCGTTGTCGATCAATCAAGTAATCTCAGAATCCTCAACATCTGCCATTCAATCAGCAACTTCATCGCGATTTGTATCGATCCTGTCTCTCGATCAGATTATGTCGTATCGAGACCCTTCAAGATCGATCGCGTCCCCGAAGACATTCATGATTGCGTTTCGATCACCACCGCAGAAATTCGTCGACGCGTGAATATGCTTTTCGAATAGGGAGGATCCTCTCGCGGTTCCTTCCTTTTACGAGCCCGTTCGAGGCAGGTAGGCGCTTCGATGTTCTCACGGAGGCCCCTCGAGTGAATCGGCCGTCGCAGATGGGGCCCTGCATGCGCGTGCCAGGTGGGCCCCTTTCGACGACGCTGAGGTCTTTCCAGTTGAGCCGATGCAACGGCGTTTCCTGCGAGCTGATCGAGACCGCGAGATTAGCGTTTCTGCGAGACCGGACCCGCAGGGGCCCCGTTGATCCTGACGCTACGATAACGAAGGACGAACCGAAACTTATAGTACCGAGTTTTTGATGGTCGGAAAGCCCAGAGTGTATCATCAGGGATCGACAGTCTTCGGGGCACCATGCAGCCGTCTCTCATGCACTCGTAGCACGTACGCGCGAGTTTCCTGTCTTCCTTCGCGGAACTTCCCGACCGGGCATGTATATATATATATATATATATATATATATATATATATATATATGACGTATATATATGTACATATGTAGGCGCGAACGGAAGTCGGAAAACGCGCGGGAGTGAGAAACACTCGACGAAGACGCCGGCGGCGGCGACGTATAAAATGATAGACGTCGGCATAAAATCGTCGACCACCCCCGAACACGAACGTGAGATCAATGCGCACGAATGTGTACCCTTCCGCGAATAATATCGCGTGTGAATGGCGTATTAACTTGCTTTTCAAAGTATGTATCGGGCCGGAGCTGGCCTTTACACGGATCCCGTGGAGATTCGAGAGTGTAGGTTTCGCGTAATAGTTTCACTCCAGAATATATCCCGACATGATATTTTTATTCATGATGAGGAGGGGGTGGGAGAGGAGAATTTCAACGAACGCATTACAACGAAGCGCGCGCGATGAAGCTGAAATTGCTCGTTCGGAGGAAATGAGGAAAAGCGGTAATAAGCTTTTTGTTTCAACATCGAAAATGCATAGATCGATACTTGGAATTTTATCGTTGAAAAAATGAGGAAAATTTCACTCGGTTATTATTTAATTCGCTATTTATTAAAAAAAAAAAAAAAAAAAAGCAGAGAGAAAATGGAGGCAATATTTTTTTTGTATCTCATTCGTAAAATATTGCGTACACATGGCTATTTCATTTCTCATTAAGATTTGTCGAGTCTCTTTTCCGCGCAAAAGTGGTCTTAATAATTTAAATTCTCGCTGCTTTCGGAGCTATATATAGAATGTACATGTGGGTGCGCGCAAACTCCACAAGCAAGAAACACGAGCTTATTTATAATTATTTTCGCGTTGTTGCACGAGAGAAGGAGAAGCAGCGAAAGTTGAAAGCGCGACGATACGGAATCCGGCGCGCGGATGAAGAAGAGACGAGACGTCTCTTGGTCGAGAGAGGCAAAGCCTCACTGTCGGTGACATTCAAAGACGCTCGCGCGTGTCACGCTCAGTCAGTGTATTTACAGAAAGCGACGAACGCGGTAAAGGCTGAAATAAAGGGACCCATTGGCATAAGGCGCCTCGCTCCGCTTCATTATATTTTTTTCGAGGGCCCTTTTCTGCGCGGGGTTTCTAGACGACTCCGGCCTGTGGCGATCGTTATATACGGCCGTGTTACTACAGTTAGTCGTTAATAACGTTCCCGACAAAGTCAAATAAGACTCCTCCTCCTTTCAATCGCCAAGCACCACCCAACACGGCGGCCGGTCAAAATGTTTAGTCAACGGCCGGATCTGTTCTCTTGTAATCGTCTCGAGACCCCGACACATCGCTATCGCGTTCCAAAGTTATTTATAACGATGCAATCATATATGTGTGTTTGTACATCGCCGGGTTACTCGAGATCGCGCATTTATCGATCCGCGATTTAACCCCCCCGGTCGCGTGTAAATAATTTTTGCGACGGGATAGTAATCGCGAGTAAAAGCTTCCTATCGTCTCTGTTTTTGATATATTTTTTTTGCGCGTTTATTATTATTATTATTATCGCGAAATTTATGAGCGTATAATTAGTTAACATTTTCCTGCGAGCGATACGCGAAATTGTTTCAACGAACATGACGGCCATGAAACGGAACAAAGCGATAATTATTAATGTACGGTGCCATTAATATGATTAATACGTTCCACCGTCGCAGTTTAAAGAGATAGCGCGATATTATTAATTAACGACTCGCGCTCGGCGAATGCGCCGTATTTGTATCGAGCGTTTTCCATTCCGAGAGATTTACTCGTGCCGCAAAGACGCGATCTTTACGAGCGATTGTGAGGTCGTGAGTGTCACGACTAACGATTCACAGCCAATAAATGCCGTAAATAGTTGGAAGCATAATGTTACCGATTTGTTGGGGGATAATGCCGCGCTTACAACAGTCGTTTTCCTCGTTATAAGCGCGCGGATGTATATGATACCATCATCATTCTTACCAGGATCTCGTCGAAAAAGCCGATGATTGAATAGATCGTTGTACAAATCAGCGTTGTACAAATCAACCATCTAGCCAATGCAGCAAGAACGTAATAACGATGTATTATTGAGAGAGAAACGTATTATATATATATGTAATCTACAAATCTTTGGAAAAACTTCCCTCCAGTAGATACCTGATAGGTAGCGCAATAGTGGAAGATTTTAAAGCTTGGACAAAAGATGTAGGCATATACGTGAGACGTAAATCGCCGACAACGTATTACTGCCATTAAGTCGTATCGAAGAACGTGCTCCTGTACAAGTAATCCTAGTAAGTGCCCCCGAGTACTTGTAAATCTCTATTCGACGGTGCATACGGGAGAATACTTTATGATTACGCGTGTACTCTCTTTGCGCGCAGTCTCTCTCTCTCTCTCTGTAGGTTTACCGGGGTAGATCACCCGGGAGCCATTTATCGTACGTTCGACGCTATTTTATTTACACGCGCGGTCGATCTCGCATGTATTTTCATTTGTTCGGCGAAGCTGAGAAAACAGCTGATTGGAAATAAAATTCGCAAGTGTCTTTCAAAAAAAAAATATTCTCGTTTATTTCGCTGTTTTTCTCCCCCAAGTTTTACATCGACGGCACATATACATAAGAGAAAGGGTTGTAAATATAGCTCCGATGAAGCAACAAGTAATAACGTATATCTCGAGTTAATGCCCGCTCATATAATTTTTCCAACGACTTCATTCATTTGATGCGCGGACCTGTAATATCGGCGTTTGTATACCTTTAACCTGCTGTCAAAGCGCAACAGCGGGGGTTGAAGATTATAGTCGTTTCGCGCAAATCCGGTAGTTGATATCGCGAGGCGATCGCCGAATCGAGCTTCGTAACAACCGGTATTTTGGAAGAGGCCCGAACATGCAGAGGGAAGGACTAAGTTGGAGCATGCGAGTTTATGACAGCCGCGAGTTTTTAATAGGCTCCTGGAGACTCTTGGACCGTGTGGATGTGGCCCAGCGGGAGTGCAGGGGTTAAACGCTAACGTTCATCTTTCGATTTGGTCCCTAGCGGGCTTTTGAAAATGTGCAGTCACCGGAATGAATCGTCGAAATATTCGTAGTCGCTTGAGAGCGTTGTATAGCGAATTTATCTCGATTAGTAGTCTGAAATGTCGCGAGAGAATGCCTGCGTTCGAAGCATTTAAATCACGTTTAAAGGGAAAACATTTAAAAAATTTATGACAAGTTTAATCGTTTGAAAATAATTGTTTTTTACAACGAAATACCTACCGCACGGTGCTCCAATTTCGTTATTTCATTTTGCATAGCTTTGCGAAATAATTTGTGACATTATTCCCGTGAGAGATCGCGATTTACAAACTATATTCCGCGCACGTTTCGACTAGAAGCGGACTATTTTACATATGTTATCGGGACACATTTCCTAGGTCGGCGAGCGATACGAGAAAAAAATTCGCTACACGACACATTACGCAACTAATACCGGATATTACTTACTCGTGCAGCCAATCAGCGAAGCGTGGTTATCCATAAACCGGCTGGCACTTTAACCCCACTGCACTGACACTAGCGTTATCATCGTTGCAAGTTCGTTACACTGCGCGTAGTAACGTCATTCTTCACTCCCGGATCGCGACTGTCGAGATATACGTTCGCGTCAATTCAAGGATAAACTATTTTTCACATCGATATATCTCGTATATCCCGTCGCAACAAAGAGCACTAAATTTTCCCCGTCACGCGGAATCTATTCACGTTCCGTTCGGAAAAAATTCAGAGCCAGAGGTCCGTACGTCAAAAATTCTCTCTCCCTTCACAGGTATACGAACCGTGCACGAGAGAAACCCGTCGTTCTCACCCCTAGTCTACGTTTCACGAGCGGGTACGTGCACGCGCACGTCCCAATATATATATATATATATATATATATAGAGGGTACGAGTTTCGGGATTAGCCGTTAAGAGCGGATAAACACCCGGGAGCCCCAGCACGCGCGGCTCATGTCGGCCAACTGACTCGTAGTCTAGCGCGGAGATCTCGGGGCCCTTCGCCTCTTGGGCGCCGGTGCTGGGCGAACGTGGTGGCGATGGTGGTGGAGGTCGCTGACGGTGGTGGTGGAGGTATCGCGGACAGAGTATAGAGCGGTGGTGGTAGTGCTGGTGGTGGTGGTGGTGATGGTGGTGATGGTGGCGGTAGTAGTATAGTAGCGACGGAGGCGATGCCGTGATGGTGTTGGTACTAACGGAGGCGGAGAGGCAGCTAAGAGGAAAAGAGCGCTCTGGTGGGAGCGTGGATGCTGTTCCGTTCTGTTCCTCTGCAGTCGTTCCTCTGCACACGCGGATGCCGCCGCAGAGTGCTGTCCGAACTGCCGCACGAGACGGAGTGTGTATAGCTCTCCGTGTATACAGAGAGATTGGCCGCAGACTTTGTTAAATATTCATTCCATCCGGTTGTCGCGGATAGTACATCGCATACCCTCGCATAGGAGGAATGTTAGTCCAACCTGCTTGTTTCCCCGATTACTCGGGGGACATTCGAATTTCGGAGCAGTTGATTCGGTTACGCGTGTTGGAGATGCACGACGAAATCGCGGGTAATTAGTATTGACAGAGAATATATTATTTTGCGCGTCTGCGAATTAAATTGATGACTGCGTATATATATATATATATCGAGGGAGGGTGAAATGTCGCTCGCTTGATTGTATTATAAAGGAGAGAAAGGTCCGCGAGAAAAAGGCAAAATCTGGGAAATCGGAGAGAGAGAGCTATCTTTCTCACTTTGACAGCAGGGAGATTCGGGTTCAGGTTGAGGATAGAATCCGCATTTTGACCGTGGTGCATAAATTTGTTTTTTCATCAAATAAATACCATTTATTTACAGTGCCCCTTCCGCCGCCCACTTCCGTTCTTTTTCCCGTTCGTCTTTTTCCCGTTCGCCAGCGCGTACTTCGTGTCGTTCGATAAATAAATATTGACCGTCGAGATGGACACCGCAAACAAATCCATTAATAACACACAGATTCAACCTCGTCGCGGAACCATATATATATATATATGTTGTACGTGTACTCGTGGAATCGGATACGTGCGCGCATTTAGTTTCATCTGGACCAATCTGATGGTCGCGAACCCGCCGCGCCTAATTCGACGTTGTCCGTGTCAATTTATGTCCCTACGGTTGGATTCGGCGTTACGGTAGAACAATTTAATAACGTTCATTTTCATGCATTTCCCACTCCAGTTTCGTCCCTTCTTCCCGATCGGTACGGTTCATCGAAAAGATAGAGAGAGAGAGAGGTGGGTATCACGCAGCGTAGAGAGGAAATAGAGAGAGAGGGAAAATAGCTAACCAGTGAGAGACTTCCGGCAAGTGAATTCATGCAAATTCGTGAGATTGTAATCAAATAATTCTCGATGTCCAACCTGGCGGTATATCTCGTTAACGTACGCGTTACAAAGACAAACATACAAGTTTCATCGATAACTCGACATCACCCTCTTCCACCCCTTTCTCTATTCCAGGTCGGAAAGAATACATGCAAGGGGATGGCGACTTCCGGAAGGGTAAGTTCCGCGAAAATTGATTTCCGCGAAAAAATATTCTCTTTAATTTTAAATACCTTTATTGCTTCGATACATGTTAGAGAAATATTTACATTCGTCCCGTTTCATTTCGAATCTTTCTTACGCTATATTTATTTTCTTTTCTCGAATACATTATTTTTTCATGCATTCGAAGCTATATCGGATATTTGCCAGAGATATAAGTAGAAAATCTAGGATTTTTCTTCTTAGATTCGATATATGAAAGTTCAAAGATATTTTAAACTAGAGAGGGAGAGAGAGAGAGAGAGAAAATTTAAATTTAAAAATAGATCATGAGAATAGTGCATATGGCGAACGCTCGGTTCTAGTAAGGTGAATATCTCGTGCGATATCGCTGCGAAACATTTATTTCTTTCCATGGACTCGTAGTTTATTTGAGTAATATTTTTGTAACTTGTTAAAAGTATTTATGTATATTTAAAAAATATTAATTAAAACTTTGTCCGCGTGTCCCTATTCCCGCTATTGTAATTATAAATGATATTATTTATATGTTTCGTGCATTCGCTATTTATAATTACCGAGAATCTCGTATCTGATCCCGATAACACGGTAACACGACGTGGCGCGTGTTTTGTCGACCTGTATTCCTCTGTCACACGACTTCTAATCGATAAATGAGAGTTTTAAGTAGACAATAATATACAGCGCGATAACAAGAGAGGGATGAAAAATCGTAGGTGCCCTTCCAGCGAGTTCCCTTTGTCGTAGCTCCTTTTACGTGGAGTTTCGAATGGAGAAGATGATCGCCTCGTAATCCTATATAAACACGGTTATTTTTATCCCATTACGGGGCGGTTCCGTAACGGCCCGTGTTGCCTCGAGTCTGCATAATGCCACGTTCGTTGTGCACGAAGCTTTAAAGGTTGCCGACGATCGGGGATGACCGCAGGATCCCGAGGGGTGTTTCATGTGCCACACCCCCTCCCGTCTGCTGCCACGAAGCTGCTTTAACAGCAGGGGGCGAATATGCCTGGACCATGATACAGTCCTTCCAAATGGTCGCTGGGTTTTCTCCGACGGTTTTGTGTGCGATTCCATTGAATTCGACGCCTTTCTCTTCGAAACGTTGTATAACATTTCTCGAAAGGAACATGCTAGCGATGAATGATCAACAAATTCTAATTTTTCGTCAAGTATTTTTTAACGCGTAACAAATGTGCTTAATGAGCATATGACAGCGTGGGAAGTCGAAGAAACTGTTAACTGTTAGGTAAATTATTTTGTATCACACGTGCAGGCAAAGTGGCACTTTGTGTGCGTGTTTTCTGTGCGGAAAGCGGCCGATTTCCCACGCCGCAGAATGGCGGCGCACAAAGCCACTTTGCCTGCACTTGTAATACAAAATAGTATGTGTATCACGTGCGGATTGACAATTGTCAACTTTCCGCACTTGATACACAATATACTATTGAAATTATGAATAAATAATTTTTATCGTATCACCTTTGCTAAAGAAATTATTAGCTTTCTCGTTCTTGCGTGTTTTATTTTCACATATTTTTTTATCGATATATATTTTATTTACTGATATATAACTGTATGTGTATTTTCATGGTTATTATTAATACAGGTGTTAGAGGTGTTAGAGATCTGTGACTTTTAGGATAATTGTGGTTAAAAGAGCCCAAACGCATAACATGTGTTATGCATTTATTCTCGAAAGTCTCAGTTGCATGTGACGCGTGACGCCCACAAATCGGTTTCACGTTTTCCGAGTCTCTTTTTTATTTGTTGTGTTATGATATGCAGTACTATCGCCAAAGTATGTTCTCTTCGTCGGAAATCGGTCCTTATCATATAGAAATTAAAAAGTTGCTACATACATTTTCGAGGTTCAGATATATATGATATATATTACAAGACTCTTTCTTCGTGCAGAATTGGTCCAGAAGCACCGTCGAAGGTTCGCCCGACAAGCCGTAGAATATTTTTTTCTCAGACTCTCGTGGGTTGCTTTTCTTAAGAGGAAACTCTTGTAAGTTCGTTTCGTTTCGCCAGGAGGTCAACGAAACTCGAAGATGTCCCTCGCCGCTGCTCCCGTATCGTTCTCCCCTTGAGAAAAGCAGACGTGAAATTCTATGGTTGAATCGAATCGGGGGTGAAAGAGGCAAGTCGGTTTACATAAACAGAAAAATTCGTATTTCTCGTATAAATATGTATAGAATATTTTTTTATGGGAATCCGCAAGATGATTAGAATGTAGAGAATGTTTTAAATGTGCAATCCATTCCAGAAATATTGTTCTTTTATTGTTAGAATGTAATATTCTAAAATATATTTGCCAAATATTTTCAAAGATTATATATATTTTATTTATATGTGCGTTTTATTTTTTTTATTATATTTATGAAATTCTAGAATCCTATTATATACATATATAAGAGTCAGAATAAAAAAAATTCACTTAAAAAAAGAGACAGGACGAAATAGAAACGCGACACGATTCATCGAAGATATGATCGCATCGATGAAATTGACGTGCGGTAAGATCGTAGGAAATTCAGTAGAGTGGAATATAGTTTTTTTTGCGTGTGTCAGCGTATCCATTAATTTTCAAGAGGAAAATCGATGTCGACCATCTAGAATTACGAGTCTTCTCTTGGAAGACCCCCGAGTGAAATTCGAGCTTGTTCCATTTCTCGTGAAAAAAAGGGTCCAAAGCAGGAGGAAAACAAGGAAAAAACTAGGAGAGAAAGAGCAAGATGAAAAATGTTCGTACGACGTATCTTACCTAGGCGTATCTCGGAGGTTTCACCAAGATGTCGAGGGGGGATTGAAAAGACATAGAAGATGAATACGCCGTGTCCAGTTGACGCGTCCGAAAATATCCGAAGATAATATATCCTGACCGAGTGCGAAGAGAAAAAAGACCTTCTTGTCCTTTATCTGGAACGGAGGATCTCTGTCCCCTTTCGAGCCCTTTAAAACAAATACCTCTACGTTTCGAGAGGTATGTTTAGGCGCAGGTAAGCGTGCCTGGCGCATTGATTCGAGCTCTTCGAGGTCTATACGTCTCTCGTTTCGCCTAATAGTACTTAATGGAATCGATAAGTTGTCCGACAAATCTCCGGCGTCCCACGTATAAAACTCGGTGCCGTAAGTCGTAAATTCGATTTGCTTCGAACGATCCGTTCGATGGCATTCTTACATTATTAGGCGCAACGTATGGACTGGGAAGATAGTTGAAGATTTGATTGCCTTTTTTTAAAGCTACCGTGAATCTTACGATCGATATCTACCTGCTTCTTCCTTTATGGATGCGATACGATTACCTTCAACCCATTCATTTCATCGAAGCCGACGATGCATTTACAGAATCCCTTGTTCGAGATCGTAAATAACGAGAAACTGCGAGAGCGTGATTCTATTAAGTATTAACGTCGTTAATCTTGTATCGCG